TACAAATTTATTCCGTACTATGTTCAATCGGACGCTATGAGCTTAACTAATTCCTACTTTTTAAGTGATAATGAAATCTGCCATAAATTTATAAAGAAACATATGGAAATAAAACACAATATAAACAATAATGGATATTGGAGTAGATGGATAATGGAAATTGTTCGGAAATGCAGTAGCTGTAGATTTTGCAAAAATAAGCAATTTTATTGAATGTTTATTTACTATCGATTTGCCGTTTTATTATTTTTCTGAAGAGTTTTAATGTCCCTTGACACGATTTGATTAGTAATTGTATTATGTGAATAATAATATAAATATTTATATTGAAATTCTAAAAAATCTTTCTATGCAAAAGATTCTCTCGTTATGCTATTATAATATTTAACATATATGTATTGTATATATAAAGATTGTTTGAACTGCTGAAAATTAAATGAAAAAAAAGTCGACGTGTCATAAATAGATTGCTCAATGACAATTCTTTTTTTTTATGATAGATATAAACAAATGATGATAGAAACAAATATTTGAGGTAATTAAAATTCTCAAGTTTGCAATATCTCTTTTATATATACATAGTTAGCCAATTACTAAATTCAAGCAGAGAATTATATCCGCATTCACGTTTCTTTCAATGGTCTCAGTCCGTGAGTTACATTAGGGTTACGACAGAGAAAGTCCACGCATAAATACAATATGAAAGTAAAACAAAAGTCTTCTTTTGCAGTTTGATAATAGTCTTCCACTACAAAAAAAATTGCAATAGTCTACAAGGAATCTAAAAATTAGTGAATAATCATTTAAGATCATTGTGATACGAGGTTTGGAAATTTTGTTTTGACTATATTCCATAAATTTCACAATTTTCATTCTGTCCTATGTAACAGAATTTCATCAGTGTATCCAAGCAATTTTTTTTTGTATGATTAAATCATTAAAAATAAATGAAGGGCTTCAAAAAGCCATTAGAATTTTATTTCTATATTTTCAATAAGATAGTTATGTCCAAAGTGACAGAACTTCATATTTACCTGGAGGTGGGTTAATGCCCGGCTGTTTTTAAGACAGGGCAATTAGAACGTTATGTTTCTCTGCCTGATATCAGGAACTTCTCAAAATGAGGCATTATGGTCTTAATTCGAAAGACTGAATATCTTTTTTTATTTATTTACATTGTCAGTCAGGTATTGAAGAGCAATATATAGGATCAGCTATTTTCGAAACAGTGGTTGACATTAACACAATCTGCATGAGGTTTTGTCATTGTTACTTCTAAAAATCATTGTGTAGTCAGAACATATATATAAATGGATTAGAGTATCAGCCATAAAGATCTATATTTTTGGGGTAACAGAAACATAATTTTAATCGATTAATTAAGGATAATAATGGCTATATATGAAAAGAAAACGTTCGAAATAATTGCTAACGATATCAATTTAGAGTGTTCAAAATTTCGATTATGATTATATATTTATTTAATAAATAATGTTAACCACCACTACACATAATGTTTGTAAAATTAATTAAGTATTTTAATAATCATTTCTAATGTTTTTATTAGTTTATTTAAGTATCTTAATAAAGTCACTTTCATGTAAAGAGGTTGTTTCAGAGCATGGTCCGAAAGTCCATTAAAGAGAGCGATCATCGATTATCGTGTTCGTTTAAACCATCAATGGTGGTGACACGTTTCTTTGGGTAACCTTTCGAAATCTTAAATTTCGTTTGTGCTTCTTGTTGAGTTAACTTATTTATTTTATTTATTTAAATTACTTAAGCGGAAAGATTCTTGCATCAGGGAGTACGATTTTTGACAATTGGCCATATATGTGTTATCATATAAGCGAATATCAAAAACGAATATCATATATTCGTTTTATTGTATGTAATTTCTATCTTTTCTTAGGATCAGTGAAATCTAGTCTTTTTTGAAACACCAAACCCTTCAGTTTGGCTATTCGTATTTAATTTTTTGGTTGAAATTCGTCTTAAATTGCGGTATGTATTTCTTTCAAGTTTTCATCCTCCGAATCACTTTGTCGTTTTTCCAAGTGCTTTGGAATAATGTGATACAATCATAATTTGTTCACACTAAGCTCTTCGAAAGTTTGATATTCGAATTTCATTAAGATAAAGTTTGATCCCAAAAATAATATCCAAATATGGTCACATACTCATTAATAATAGTAAATTCCGCAGTATATTGTTGACAGGTAGAATAGGAGTAAACTCTGTGCAAGTAGAACGGAATTACAGAAAGAATGCAGATGATGTTGTCCAGATAAAGGTTCGGGAATTATAGGGCTTGCGCCTAGTGATATTTAGAAGGATTACGCAAAATTGGATGAGTAAATAATATAAGGAAGAAGATAATGATAACTGGTAAAGTGTAAAGTGTCGCCTTAGAATAACAAAAAGTCATATAATCTTTTGATGTTAGAAAATTTGTAGATTTTGATGTTAAGAAAATATATGCTATGCGGTCTGCGCTTGAAGTTAACGCAGTATCGATGGAATCTCCTTTTAAACGACAATCAAATTGTAATAATATATCACAGCTAGAACTGGCTTATATTCACATGAATCGACGAAAGTGATATGTAGACCTCATTTACAATAGTGCTTAGTCATAACCTTCACAACACTTCAATGTTAATACCTTAATGTGTTCATTATAAATTTCTAACTATTCTAATATTGACTCCAAAACTAAAATATAGTTATCCAAAACCCCTAATTAAGTATGTCATTAACATAAACAGAAACCTTTTAGAAATTATAGCAATCAACATAGCAAGTGGTCAAAATCACGTAGTTTATTTACATAAAAATTTTTTTTTTTCAAAATATTTTGTTTATAAACAAGCTTTAATAAACAAAACTGATAACAATACCCAACATCCAACATGCAACATGTTGTATGCTCATATCTCATGCAGCGCTCAAACCAAGTTTAAGCCGCTTAGCCTCGTTCGATGTCTGAACACTCAATACCTCATATTTATTTGTTCTCTCGTTCTCAATCGAAATCGCTGGAACAAATGTCAATACATACAAACACAATCTTTGTTCTGCGTTTGCCGCTTAAACAAGTTCTAAGCTAGGCTTGTTTTTTTAATTGTTTTTGTTTTGTTTATCGTCACGTTTTTGCACAAGTTGCAAGTTGAAGTTTATCATTTGTACGAGTTTTGCAGAAAAACTGAGCAATTCCTTTGCGTACGCTAGGCTTAAAGAAGTTTTTAGTAAGAATTCGTACGTCTCTAAAATTGGTTGTGTGCTTCAGAAGTAAGTTTTTTAATAGAAGTGTGGAATTACAAACTTTTTGCCGCGTTCACTAAACGAAATTTTGATACTGCAAAACAACAAAACTATTATTACCGATTTATGGTAAAAAGTGCTTAGCTTAATATAATTTTTAAACAAAATAAAAAGTGAAGTGATTAAGTGCATAATATTATTTAAAAAATAAAATATATCTAATTGTTACATTGTACACTTATTAATTAAACTCATCTGAGTAATAAAATGTTTCAATTAAAATAATTTAACTTTTAATTGTGTTTATAAAAAATATTAATTCGATTTCAATATAAATCTGTTTTATTTAAAACTTTAAACTGAATATTTAACTTTGCAAATGTATCGTGCCCGTATAGCTAGTTTAAATGTCAAGAAAGGTAAGTCTTCATTCTTTTACCAGAAAAAAATGAGTCAACTTTCTTATTTTTATAAATTGATTTTTAATTTAAACGTTTTAATAATAAATTTATTTTTAATCAACTTGTAGTGATCTCTTTATTTGATATATATATATGTATATATATTATTTACAATTCAATGCACTACAAAAAATGAAATGGTTTCTGTGTTCTGTTTTATAGTAACTGAAATCTCAAGTACCTATATATTTCTAGATAGATATCAAGAGCTAAAAAGATATCTAGATAGATAATATATGGGGACTTGAGCTTTCACTTACAATAAAACGGAACACAGCAACCATTACATCTTTTGTAGTGCATTGAATTGTAAAACATGGTACTGTAAAATAATATATATATATAACAAATAATGAGAATGTGTTCTTACATGTAATATATACAAAAATATCTATTAACACAAACACATTTATTTAACGGCTTGAACAAGAAGAAAGAATTTTTTTTACGGTAGCTGGAAATCGTACAAAGCTATAGTGTTGACTTGAACCCACTAAGACCACTTCTTATGGACAAGTTGAGAAGATCCCATTATTTAATATTTTTCAAATAATGAAAATATGTAATCATATAAAATATATATAAAAATGTGTATAAAAATATTAATAGACATAAATAAATAACATTTTATTCTAAGGCTTGAATCAATAGAAAAGTTTTTTTTTGTGCGATACCTGAAAAGTATCGAAAGTCACAGTGCCGATTTAAACCCACATAAACCATATCTTATTAATAAGTTAA